TTATCAATCTTTCAATCTTCAGAGCCCAAAAGAAATTACCTCTGCAAACTCTCAATTTTCTTACTATTTCAGATACTTCCTATTTCTTTCACTCCTGCTTAAAAGCAGGAAAATTCTTTTCTGAATTAATTTCTTCAAATATCTTGATAAAGAGCATGTCAACAAATATATTTTACCAATGCTGTTGTCTTACTTTTCCCCACTACTCAAGTTCCTATTACCTGCCTCCCAAGTTATTATCAACTATAGTTTTATCAAGTATTTTTCACTGTATTAATGAATCACCATCTTTCAAACCACCCATACCAACTTATTTTCTATACACCTAAGCCATGCCTTGAATATTGTTTTGTTATTGCTTGTTTTTTCCCAAAGAAAATCAATTTCTTTGTAATATAAGCTAGTTTATGCTGCAGTAATGAGTAACCTACAATTCTCACTGGCTTAACACTGCAAATATTCTCACTAATGCAAAGCCTCCTGTAAATATGGGCCACAGTCCAAAGCATATTGCTATGGCAATTCTAAAATCCACTGTGCAAATATATTGAGACATTCATAATCTGGGGTAGGAATTATTCTCTAATTCTGGTCTCTGGAAGTAGTTTCCTCACCCAGTGTTCTCTTTAGCGCTTGGTTGCGTCTTCTAAAAATTTCTACCATTTTGGTGTGCCAGCTGATACGGGGATTTATAAATAAACCCTTGGTGGGTGAGCAGCTTTCTCAAACCATTCTCTGTCCTAGAGGTTTGATGGTCCAAGAGTCACTTTTGAAGTCCTGAACAGTCATTGATCCTGTTAGCCTAGACTCATAGTTCCTCTGGAAACAAAACATTGTTTTTTAAAAAGGCTCCTTATGCTTCCATCTACTTGACTTTGGGAAGGATTATGTGCCAAAAGCTATACCACACTTAATTTGAGAACTAGTTCTCAGGCCCATGCCTCTCTTTGCTCTTTCCTCTTTCTCCTTCTCCACAGGATTTGATTGAAAAGCCATACCCTTAGACTCTTTTCTCTAAATTTTAATCCATCCAAAAGATTTGATTAGGTGCTATACTCTTAAATTTACATGGTCCCTATAAGAGCAAGAAGCAATTTAAATATGTTCAGGGACCATTTTCATCTCCAGAATTAAGGATTATTTTAATGATACATCATTGCCTTTTCTCTTTTACTTTCCTTTTTAGTTTTATTTTAGGATTCCCTATTTTTAATGTTCATACAGAGATTTCTTTAACTGAAATACTGAATATTTTCTCTGGTGTGAAAAACTATAATAGTACACAAGATCCTAATGAGATAATTAATAATGTGAAATAGGAAGTAAAGGGCTAAAGGTGTAGGGAAAGTGAGAAAGGTGGGGGAAAGGTAATGAGGGAGAAGAAAAAAATATGAGAAACTGAAAAAATGGAAATAAAGTGTCTGTAAATGGGGAGGGGAGGAGGGGTGAAGGGAGGGCAGGGACAAGGGGAAAAAATGAGAATCAAGACCTATTATGTAAAGGCACAGAACCCCAACGATGATTGTAACTGTATTGTATACCTAGATTGTATCAATAAACTCAATAAAAACAAAAAAAATTTTACATGGTCCCTGAAGTACTTTAATCCATTCAAGGTTTTAACAGTGAATATTGGGCCCATATTTTTACTTTGATCCTTGTCTCAAGTCTGAATTTTAATTTTAAAGACTTTATCAATCTTTCAATCTTCAGAGCCCAAAAGAAATTACCTCTGCAAACTCTCAATTTTCTTACTATTTCAGATACTTCCTATTTCTTTCACTCCTGCTTAAAAGCAGGAAAATTCTTTTCTGAATTAATTTCTTCAAATATCTTGATAAAGAGCATGTCAACAAATATATTTTACCAATGCTGTTGTCTTACTTTTCCCCACTACTCAAGTTCCTATTACCTGCCTCCCAAGTTATTATCAACTATAGTTTTATCAAGTATTTTTCACTGTATTAATGAATCACCATCTTTCAAACCACCCATACCAACTTATTTTCTATACACCTAAGCCATGCCTTGAATATTGTTTTGTTATTGCTTGTTTTTTCCCAAAGAAAATCAATTTCTTTGTAATATAAGCTAGTTTATGCTGCAGTAATGAGTAACCTACAATTCTCACTGGCTTAACACTGCAAATATTCTCACTAATGCAAAGCCTCCTGTAAATATGGGCCACAGTCCAAAGCATATTCTCTCCATATATCAGAGTCCACCACACTGCATCAGTTCTTAAGGACCTTACCCATACACCAATACACCTTACCAAAAAAAAAAAAATCAAAAAGCCAAGCACTCTTAAAATGCTCAACCTAGAAGAGACCTACAATCACTTTTACTCACATTTCAGTGGCCAAGTCTTATAAGCACATCTAAAATAAAGGGTGTGAGGTAGCATCCTCCCACGCTCTTGGAAATGAAATGGCACTAGAAATGTTGAAAGGAAAAATCCCTATCTGCTCCTGTAGGATCTTCTCTCTGCTTTTGTGGCTGTGTAGTTGCACTACAATATATTTCCATTTCTATTTGTTTTCCTAGTTAGTATAATTTGCTCTACAACTTATATCTATGAATTCACATCATTGACCACTTCTAGACACTTCTTAGCCATTATCCCTCCAAAGGTTTCTCTCTTTGGTTCTCCATCTGTCTAAATGTATGTTAGGAGATATCATCCATCCTCTCTTAATCCCTTTCTATTTCCCACTCTAGAAAGGCTCTCATCTGTGGTTCATTATTGCTTCTACTTCTCAGTCATAGTGGCTTGTTTCATTTTTCATGGCAGTCATTCGGTTGAAATTAATGTGCGGGAAACCTGAGCACTGTGATACTTTCCTCCTGACTTCTCATTCTTCGCATTCATTTCTGCCAAGAGCAGGTGTTATCATCTTGAGATGACTATGTTCAGGGTTACGACTTAACACAGAGGTCTTGGGACGGACGTGGTGCGACCAGTGTGTCCCTGTCTAGAGGAAGGCATAAAGCGAGACCTAGAGGACAATTTCACATAAAACATGTCCTAGAATGTATACATTAGTGCTTCCATTAATCAAATGAATGGAACTCATTTAGGAGACAACATCCAATTGTAGAGGAGGCTGGGGGAAGTAGAAGAAGGGGCTGTTACTAAGTCTAAAAACATAATGGATACAAGCAACAATTAACAGTCTAGCCACTGGCGAGTCTTTCACTTTCCAAACCATATCCTACATATACGCCCTCAGAATTTATGTCTACAGGATAAGGTCTTCCCTCTATGTAGCTCCAGGGTCCATGGACCTGGAGGTCTTCCAGAGGTCAGGACTTCTTATTCTAGGAAGTCACACAACACACATCAAAGATGAAAATGTACCTCTGTAGCCTGTACACTGTACCTAGACTTTTTATTGAAATTTTTGATACATTTTATAACCTTGCTTTTAAATTATTTGGGTACGAGTAATTCATTTAATTTACAATAGCTCAGGTTTCTTAATAATTAATGGGTTTAACATAGTGCTGTTGCTTATAGACATTTAATTAGAAGTTTCTTTGTGTATGTTTTACCATTTTTAATGTTTTTCAGGACTTAATTTTATAGGCCTCTGAAAAGCTCTCATTCCCCAGATACCATGTCTATACTGCTGAGGGGATAAAACAATCTGCAGGCCAGGTGTGAAAGACAAAGAACTCATTCTGCAGACCTACCTTCAAGGGCAAGACTTTCTCTCCAAAGCGGTCCAGCTAGCAGCTTGCCATGGAACCTGAGGAATGGGGAGTACAGAGGCTTGTGTCCTGAAGGACCTAAGTAACAACTAGTACTAATGAAATCAGTTAAGGACAAGATGCAGCAGAGAGTTACAACAGGTGGAGGCGGTGTCCAGGTATGTGAGTCGGTCTGGAAATGGTTGAGAGGGTTCGAGAAAACTTCTGGGTTTAATTTCAAACATAGAATGATGATCATTCATCCTTGAAATACACATTTCTTTCTGATTTCTTCTCTGACACTATATCCCCTGGTCTCCTTCCTCTGTGCCTAGCTGCTGAGATGGACACAAGAGGAGGGATATATTAAGGGGACCTGGGGATGGCTACTGTATCAAGTGACACCGAGACATCCCAGGGAAGGCATCTAGCAGACCACAGATGTGTGAATCTGGAGCTCAGGAGAGGGGGCCATGATTCATAAAATTCTCCAACATTCTGCATTAGGATGTTTAGTTGCAAGTAACAGACATCAGTTCTGACTAAGCAGAAAATGAATTTATTAAAAGATTTTTCTAGGTAGTTCACAGAACTGTCAGGAGAGCTGGAAAATTAAGCTGAGAGTTATGCAGCCAGGAACATGCAGCCCTGAAATCACACGCAGAACTGGTCCGCTGAAAAAGCTATCATTGCGATCAGGCACCAGGTGCTTTATCTTGTACAGCTGCTGCTGCTGCCATGGAAACACCACTTCCTCCCAACCAATCTGTCACCAGAGAGAAGACTCTGTGATTTTTTTTTTTTTTAATCACTGGACCTGCACTCTGGCTTCAAGGGACACTGGGAAATGAAGATTCTAGTATATTTCACTTCTGTAGCGAGAAAGTAACTATGCCACCCAAGACTTCTGAAGTGGGGAAGTCAACAAAAATAGTAAAGGAGTTCAGACTCTGTGGCCCAACCGAATAACAAATTTTCTTTACAATTCTTACAAATTGACTCCCCAAAATTGCTAGAAGCCACTAGCACAGAATGAGTAGAAAGGAGAGTCAAGAATAGGAAGCCGGGGAATGTCACTATATAAAGGCCCTTCCTGAAGTGCTCAGCATCTGAAAGTGATAACTGTTCACAAGATACTTTTCCCCTAATTCCACTTCACACTTGTTGCTTGCATTTTGAAGAAGAGCCTGTAGTCATGCAATAAGATAGAGAGCTGAGGGGGGAAAGGCTCCCCTCCCTGTGTTTTTAGTAATTTTGGAATCCAGAATGAAAAACACCATGTGGTAGGTTCAGTGATCTTCATTGAAAAACACTCTAGGACACAATTGCTGGTAAAGAAAAGTACTATTTTTTATTTATTCTTGAATGTGTAGGTTCTTTTAAAATCAGTTATACCTCCCCTTACAACACTCCTCCCATCCCTAGCCACTGCAGATCCAATGGCTACATAGACCAAAAGGTCTATGAGGAACTCATCCTAGATATTTAAGAAGGGTACATCTTGAGGAATGGGCATATAGCTCAAGAACAGCACCAACTGATGAGGGCTTCCCTCAAAGCAGTTCCATTTGGCCTGTGAACCCTTTACCCTCCCCTGATCAGGATTCCCTTGGCTGTGTCCCACACCTGGAGTTCCACTGTCCCTGTGTGGCTAGCCTCAGAGACCCAGTTATGATCTGTAGAGCTGGAGAGTCTCTGAGAGACCACTGTTCTCATCCACCTCTACCCCAACTTTATAAATAAGGAAACCAAGCCCAAGGTCACACCGCCCATAATTAGCAAGGCCAAAATTGAGGTGTTCAGACTCTTGAATCACATATTTCTACTATACCTCCTTACCTCCAAGTAACCAACATCTGCCTCCAGCTCCAGGAACATGTGGAGCAAGCAGGTGGTGATGATCTGCATAAGTGCGAAAGACCCAGCAAAAGGGAGTTATGCTGACTCTAGCTAAGCTCTGGCAGGTGAGGAACTACAGCGCTCCCCAGTCACCTCTCCCTCAGAATGTTATTTGTGGTAGACATCCACCCTGTCAGGGTTCTCCCGGCTGAAGCACTGAACCATACATGAAATCATGTTTTACCATGATACTGGGCTCCCTACTGACTATGGCATGTTCTAACTAGTGTGAGGTCATGGTGATGAGCTGCCTACCATCCTGGTGATCTGGTTTAGCCTGACTGTGGTTTGGATACTACAAAATCCAATCCATCCTCTTAGGTTGATGGAGATTGGGCCCCTACAGATGGCTAAAATACAGTATATGCTTATTAAAAGAAGCAGGGAGAAGGACTCACAGATACTGTCCTCCCAGCAGGACTCATAAACACGCTTGGCATAAGAAGAACTGAGTCCAGGAGAAGGAGCCTCAAAGAAAACAGGCATGGAGGGTAAAATCAGAAGCAGCTGTGATTCTTCCTACCTATCCAATTCCCAGAGAGCTGAAACTATAGACAGCCACAGACATGTCCCCTATCTAGGTTTCAAGGGTCTGGGAGGAATGAGGACAATCCAGAGACTTGTGGTATCCTAAAAGCACGTAAAGAGGATATTTCACAGCGAGAGTGGTGGTTGGGGAGAAATGCTATGAAGAGTTCAAGGCAGTTGAGGACTACAAAGTATTTATTTGATTTGGCAAGTGGGTGGTCACTGGTGACTTTTATGCAAAATTATAGACATCTGAAGAATAACTGAGAAGAATCAACAGAAAACTATTTTTAAATTAAACTTGGCTGACAGAAAAACTGAAAGGGACAATAGACTCTAAACGTTTTTATTTTAATCTTGGGAGAACTTTGGTTGTTTGTAGGCTATGTAGAAGTAACTAATGGAGAGGGAGGCTGAAGCTCCCAGGAAATGGGAGCAGAGGCATAAGTGAGGTAACAAAGCTTTGGTGGGCATATAGCAGGATTCAAGGAATAGAGAACTAGGAGCAACAGGGAAGGAGGTGAGGAGGGCACACACGCAGATCAACAGGAGGGAGAGGGGATCGGTGGTGGGTAAGGAAGGTCTCCTTTTAGGAGCTCTCTTCTGTGAAGTAAACAATGAGGTCAGTCATTTGCTGAGAACAAAAGAGAAGGGTCATGGATGAGAAAGGAGGTCAACAGCAAGTTAAAGAATTTTCAATCAATACTGAGCCTGCCAACTATGAATCTGTCTCGCTTAGCAGCAAGGAGGAAGGGGCAGAAAATAGGCTGATGCAGAAAATGGAGAATGGTTGAGAAGATGGGAAAGTTCAGGCTGCTGATAGGAATGTCTGGTGATGGATCCTGAGGTCAAATTGGGAAGAGGAAGAAGCTCAGGGGAAGACCAAAGGTTTAGGAAGAGAGAGGGATGAGGTCATGGAAATGGACTAAAGGAGCAGGTGACTTGGGCAGTAATGAGTGTGGGAGCAGAGGATGAAGCACAGGAGTCTCCACCAGCCAGCTAGAGCAAAGGCTCAGCTCAGGAAGGCAGTGGGTGATCCCATGATGTGAGAAGAGAGCAGAGCAAAGCCCAGGAACAAACAAAGAGGGGCCCAGGTACTAAGGGCCAGGAAAGACCTGTTGCCAGAAATGGGTACAAGAAGCCAGAGTCTACTGAGTTAATGGTAGGCTTGACAACGAGTAGGGTCTAAGGAGGGCCTGGTGGCCACCACTCAGCAAGGGGTTACTGGGGCGGTCAAAGTGTGTAGTTAGCAATTTCTACAACTCAGGGAGGGTCAACCAACTCACAATCTGTAGAAGAATGCTTTCTGAGTTTGATCTGCACTAAAATCCCCTTTGCATCAACTAAAGCCACACTACCATCCTTTTTCTAATCACAACCAAGACCAACTTTTCTTCTCAGGCTCTGTATGCTATATTGTGAGAACTCCATACTCACTATATTTTCATGGCATGACATTGTCAAGGCCTGAAGAGCATGACTGACTTCAAAATGGGGCTACTATAAGAACAAGTCAATGCTAGATTAGTATAAAGGTCAGCAAAGAACCACCGAAGGCAGTTACTTGGCAAGCAGGATTTTTTTTTTTATTTATAAAAAGTCATGTTCTGTCTTCTGCATGCAAAAATAAAATAAAACAAAGCCATGACTAAAAAATTGGTGCTGAGTATTTAGGGAAAGCCAGGAAAAAGGTAATGCCATAAAATAACCAGTGTTGGGAAGATAAGATGGGCCAGGATACCCTTGCTTTCCAACTCTCCTTGCTCAGCTGCCTAAAGGGAGCCAGCCTCTCAGCATGGAGTCTCTGACCAGAAGGGAATATGGGACTCCTTACCACATCCCTCAGTCCAGCAGCTGACCCCTGAGTGAGCCCAACAGACCACACCCAAACTGGGAGCTTTACTGGGAGAAGGGAAGTCAAACTTTTAACCAGGCATTTCTGCTTCATATTTGTGGTCTCCAAATGATTCTCTGAAAGCATCTCAACCAGGTTTGAGCCTGTCACCGCCTTTTTGGGCTTTCCAATACACAATACTATGACCTTCACTCGGGGGTGATGGAAATGTGGGTCACCTGAAGGAAAAATAACTAAGGACAAGAATTAGTGCAGTGAGTACAGAAGGAGCCTTGCTAAGCCAGCTACAGAGAAAATTCAAAAACTGAAAGGGAAACGGCCAGAGCCCAAACCAGAAAGTCATGTGAGCCACCAAAGATTCAGGCCTGAGTCCAGAGATTGCCTGAAGACTACTTGCCTGAAGATTACAGTGAAGACTTGGTTACCCCAAACTAGAAAGCAGGATTATGGAAACCCATCTACTCAGGAGAGCTTGGCAAGTGCTGCTAAAAGAATGGTAAGGCAATGGCAAGGTTTCTATGACATGAAGATGATCTTTCACCCTGGGTGAGAAGGAAATGAGTAGTACCATAACTCATGAGGGAAGAAGAAATGTTTTCTGACTTTAAAAAAAAAATTGCTCATCCACAAAGGCCTTATAAACAAGAACTTCTTTAAATTGCATCTCCTAGTAAAAACAAAGCCATGACCTGAGACTTCCCTGAAATTAACCGTACTATGACAGGACCAGGAAAAGCTGTCTCAGGGCCAGGTCCCTGAAACGCCTGGTCCATAAATCCTCCAACAGTATCAGCAACGGGTCTCTTCTCAATCCAGCCCTTGCTTGAGAGGAAGCCTATGCCCCATTTTCTGTCTATACAAATACTCCACATGACCATGAAGGTCCATTTGAGATACAGACTTGAACTCCTGTTCCCATGGCTTCCAAAATGCTTATTTCTACATTCTAAGATAAATAAGGTCCTGAAATTGCTTCGGGGTCATCAAAGGACACCATTTTCTCACCTCTTGATCTTCTCTTTCTCCACCTTGACAGCATTTCCCCAGGAATGTCTAGGCTATTGCTAGTCCCTATGGCCTTCTCCATCCTCCAACCTAAAATGATGCCAGTTGAGTGTTGGCTTTTTCCAGACTGAGGACAGCCTGCAGGCAGGCAAGTCAGAGGACTCACTTCTGATCTTTGGCTCTGTGAACTTGGAGAGGTGAAGAACTAGATAGACTCTAAGCAGGAGAGGCCCTGGCAGAGTGAGCCAGTTCTGAGTCACTCTCACTCCCAGAGAACTTTGTGCCTGAAGAGGACAGCAGCTGCTTCACAGTTTTCCCAAGAAGAACTCAGATCCAGATGTCTGAATGGGGATGAGGAAGGGGTGGCCACCGACAAACACAACAATCACTTCTAGGGAGATGGGATTTTACACTGAGAAATGCTACTAGCGCAAAGTAAGTGGCACAGAAGGCGGACTCTGAAGTTGACATCTTGAGGCAAGTGAAATCTGAGCCAGAAGATGTAAAGTGGTCTCTGCACAGCCACCCAGTCAAGCAAGAATGCCATACCCCCAGGGTACTTTCACGGCAGTGACCTAAGTCAACTTCAGGAAAGGAAATATGAAAAACAAATACCCTGGAAACCGTTAGAACCAAATAGGCACCAATTGAGACCTACGGCCTCTAGAAGCCTCCATTAATTCTGCCTGTGGCAGGTACTCTGTCCCAACAGGACAAACAATGGTAAACAGTGACAGTCTTTGGCTGTGCTGGGCCAGGGATCACAGGCCAACCATATGTCCAAACCTCACTCCCTTCTTTTACCCACTTCTGAGCCAGGAGGAGTTCAGATACATACACTGCTGCTGAGCCCTGGCCAATAAAAGGTGAGAAAGGTCTGCATTCTTCAGCAGAGGAATTCACCAAGGAAGTTAGGTCCTCTGGAGCCTGACCAGGCATGGTCCTATAATATGATTACTCTGGCAATAAGGAAGATTCCCCCTTTTTCCTGTTTTATTACTGAAATCTTCTCTGCAGTGGATGCACTATGGCTCCAAATAAATGCTATAGATGTAAATGGCAAGGAAGAGCACTACACAGCTCAACAAGACTCATCTCACATCCACATTCTGAAGAGAATAAGTTGAAGGATGGGGAGCAATGGTCAACAGGACAGGACACCAGACACCAGAGTGCTCAGTCTCCTTCCAGCTCTCACACCTGTGAGATGCTGTTTGCCAAGCGGAAAGACATTCTCTTTGCTCTTTCATTTTCCTAAGAGAAAAAAATATATATATTTGGAATTAGAACAGGCAAAGGTAGGATTTATTGATATGAAAAGGCCAGGGTCGAGAATGGGATTTCCCAGAGTTAAAGTGCTTTACTTTATCCCAGAAATCCAACAGCAAAACTCAAGGAGTCTACTACACATTGTACACTAAGTATCATAAATCATTGGGAATGGTTGGTCAGGCCTTGCCACATACTAAACAGGCAACACATCTCAGTGGGATTTAATAGCAATGAATTGATGTTTCAGGTCAATGCAGGTAGAACCACAGGAGTTACGCACAGTACTTCTTTCTTCCCTGCACCAAGAGTCCAACAATATCTTTTCTTCCTCAAACCCAGGTAGAGATCAGGTGCTGAGACCAGTTACTTCTCTTCTTATGAACATCACAACCACAGTGTCATAAAGTAGCTCCAAATGGGAGTTATGACACCTAGTTCCTCAGCCTAGTTCTACTGCTAATTTGCTGGATGATCCTGGATGGGTAACATGCACCTCTCTGAATTCTAAGCCTCACTGGTAATGAGTTGGTGAGCCCTGCCCTGCATTCCTTAGAGGCTACCAGGTTAGATATGAGAGTTCATTGTCACTAGAATATCTTGGGCCACAGCAGCTTCACCTTAACCTGCCCTACACACACTCCTCGGGTGCCCCTAGCCCACCCAGTCACCACCCTCCCGCCAGCCAGCTTGTAGAAACTCTTTACCATGTGCCGTCGCCGCCTCTTGGGCTGGATGCCTTCCTGCATGTAGGGAGGCCATGGGAAGCCCTGAGGCATGGAACATCCACTCTCATTAGACACTTCCTCGGAGTCCGAGTCCTCCAGTCTTGGCTGGGCAAACTGTTTCTCTGGGTAGATCTCCTTCAACCAGCCCTCAAAGAACACCTCCAGGCAGCGGCCAGCCTCTGCAACCTCTGAATCAGGCTGATGGGGAGGAAAACACTGTTTGTCTGGCCTGTTTCTGTCAGCCCCTCTCTTCGAGGCCCTTTCCCTAAACAGAAACCACAAAGCCTGGCTGGACCATCCTGGGAATCTCATCCTGCGATGTGTACAGCTTGGCATTTTCTCCTAGAGCTCTGTTTGGTAGCAGCTGTTAAAATTGAAGTGACTCAGATAAATACCCACAGGTGGGCAGTCACTAGTGTCTCCCTACCTTCCTGAGACCATGCTGAGATCTGAGTGTGGGAGAGAGCTTGTAAATTAAATATTTACTGCAGTGGTCCCCAGGGCTCTGCTCCCAGGTTTTCCTGGCATCTCACCCTCACCTGAATCCCCACCCTCAGCCTCACTACTATGCAAACCATGATAGTCACAGGGTCACTGGGAAAACAGGAGAGAGGGAAAATAAGCAAAACATACATAATTGAATTTAGCACAGTTCCAGAACATGAGGCGCACATCTGATACCACCTCCTCTGGGGTGGTGTAGTGAGCTGGGTCCTTCTTCTGTAGCTTCCTCCGGATGATTGACAGGTCCATGGGCCTCTTGATAATCTGGTAATAATGCCGGGCCTTGGGAGGAAAGAGAAGGAAGAAGAAGATAGAAGAGGAAGGAGGAAAAAAGTATAGGTGTAAAGCTGGGTGTGGTGGCTCACAGCCTGTAATCCCAGCACTCGGGAGGCTGAGGCAGGAGAATTGCTGTGAGTTCAAGACCAGCCTGGGCTACATAGTGAGTTCCAGGTCAGTCTCAACTACATAGTGAGACCCTGTCTCAAAAAACCAAAAAAAAAAAAAAAATGTATAGGTGTAAATAAGAAGGGAACAGATGGAAAATGGGATGGAATATAAGTGAAAGAACAGAAGAAAGAGAAGGGGGAGGAAAAGCAGAAATAAAAATATGGAGGAAGATGGCAAAGAGAAGGAAAAAAGAGAGATGTAGCATTTGACAAGTAAGGTTTGGGGTAGTAGCTATTGTGGGGGAGAAAAGGAGGAGGATAGAGAGGCTCAGACAATCCTCAAACGAATACTCTCACTATTTCCAGTGGTTGCTCCCTGAGCCCACCCTGGGTACCATATGTTCCTGCCATAGCCTAGGCCAGTAGTGTCAAACCTATGACACGTGTGCCACAGTGAGCTGTTTGTATCACTGGAAGCTCTAAAAGGTTCGCCATCACTGGCTCTCTGAACAGTTAGGACAACAGCAGGCAGAAAGAGTGAGGCCTTCCTTACCAGGGGGCTGACAGGTTCATGGAAGGGCAGGCTGAGGCTATTGCAGCACAAGGACAGGACCAGCTTCTCACACTTCTGCAGAAATCAGAATTGGCAACAGTGTCACCTTGTTTCCCCAACCCATCTCATACCTCAATAAGAACTAAATATGGTAGCTAGCCTTGATCCTGTCCCACACGGTACCAGCTACTACATTAAGGCACAATGCAGGATCCCAGACCAGAGAATTGCTGGGAGAGGGGAAAAGCACAGCTCCCATGGAACAGGTCATCGGGCACGACCCAGAACACAGGCACCAGAAAGGCCTCTTGGCCCTTCTGGACACAGGGAGTTGGCTCCAGACAGAAAACCTTGTTTCCAGAGACCCCTCCATACCTTCTGGTCACATACACTCAGGCCAGGAGGTGCCCGCAGTCCAGGCTGGTTGTAGCGGGCATTCTCACAGTCGTACTCCATCTCAGGCTGTGTCAGGCTGCGGCACAAGGTACACACCCACTCTCCCCTGCACGGGTAGTGAGGCCATGTCAGGCTTTAGCACGTTGCCCACCGCATCCTTCCCTGTCCCTCTGCCCCAACGCAGGCACTGGGGGCAATGGCATGAGAAACTGAGTCCCTAGCCCTGCCTTGGAGGGAATGGCTTCCTGACCACAGGCTTTAAAGAAATTCAGTAATTCAGGATTTAGTGAATTAAAAAAAAATAGGACTTAGGGAGAGCCTAAAGCAGGGGTAGTGGGACAAATCTGTGCACAGGAAGATGATGAGAGCAGTGAGCCCATGTGCAAAAGGCACACGGCTGCAGGGCTCAGTACCTCACAGACCTACACTTCATGAAGGCCCAGAAGAGGGCAATAAACCCCACCCTGGGGCTCGGTGGACATGGTCTGAAATAATAATACAACCCAGATGATGAGCCCGGACCAGGCATGCCTCACCCTGGGAAGCTGAGCAGGGCTGGCACGTGGCAGGAGAGGTGGAACACTTTGGGGCAGCGATCACAGCACAGCAGCTCTCCCCCGTTGAGGCACACAGCACAGAAGTCCTCATTCTCTATTGGGACTGGGGGACCCTTCTTGGTTCCAGGAGTTCGAGGAATGAGTCTGTGTTCTTCAAGAGATGCGCCTTCCACCTCTGGTGGCCGCTGCCCAGCCAGAGAAGTGACAGTGACCTTTCTTCCCCCCAGACCTGGGGCCTGGATGGCATCAGGCACGTTATCCTGGCTGACCTTAGGGAAGAAGTGAGTCTGATCAGTTAGAACGCAGCACTGACAAGCTGTTGAGGACTGAGCGATGGGGGAGTGACAGGCCCTGAGTGCTCATAGGAGAAACACTTACCCAGCATCACAAACCAGCCCATGCCCGTGAACCTGGCACAGCTCACTCGTGCTGAACATCCCATAGGCCGCTCGCAGCAGAGTACAAAGTCTAGCCAAGCTATAATCCCACTCACTCAGGATAGCATCTAAAGCCAGAATTCTGGTACAGGCAGAGAGACCGAGAAAGCTCCTTAGCTGGGCCAAAGCTCAAGGGCAAGGCAGAGCACAGAGGTACCTTAATGGTCATGCTGGAGGACTCAGTGCCACACTCAATGACCAGCAAGAAGCTCCCATCCTGATCATTCTTCTGGGGCTTCAGCTTGAACACAGGCATCTCTCCCGAGGAAGCAGCACAGATCTTGAGTCGTTCCAGTCGTACGTAGGGAATCTTGGGCTCTCTACTGAAGGTCCTAGGGGAAGAGGGATCCCCTGAGTCTCAAGGGGAGCCTCCTGTGGTTTCACCCCTAAATGAGGCTCATTTATGATCCTGCAATTGGATAACTACTCAAGATCTCCTCAGTTTGACCCTGTACAGGTCCACAATCTGCCCTCTTACCAGCTATGCCTGGCCAGGCCCTGTCAGATACTAGGAAGCCCTTTGGTGCAGGCCCTGATCTCAGACATCTCAGCCATCTAACCACACAGGCCCTCTGGAAGGTCTGGGGCGGAAAGAGACAGGTGCAGGCAAAGTTCTGCTCCTAGTAAGTCCCTAGCCTTGCCCTGGAGGGAATGGCTTCCTATCTACAGGCTTAAAAGAAATTCAGTAAAGAAGCTCCAGTTAGGTCATCAAAGATGCTTACCTCTTTACCAGCTTCACAGGGCATGAAATTAGGGATGAGAGGTGGGGGTTGCCATGAGTCTCTTACCTGGTGCTCTGGTTTTCCTTTGTAACCAATTCTAGGGCTCCTTGATCAAAATTCTCATACTCTGAAGCAAAGAAACAAATAAATTCCTGTGACTTGCACTTGAGACAACATACTCTGTCACCCATACCTTCTATTGATATCTGTTCTTCATACTTTTGCCCACACACCGATCACCCAATTGTTACCTACACTATAACCATTCTTAGTGGTGACAATTCTATCATGGGTCTCCCTCCTGAGAGAGGAGGAAAGCCACCTTTTTACAAAATAGGAGCACAGATAACACTCAGAGGCTGCTCACAAGTGAATGCTGGCTCAGGCATGGAGGGGCCAGCTTCTCATAATTCAAAATGGTCCCAGAAATCACTTGTTCCCACTACAATGGTGTTGTCTGCTCTAAGAAGCATCGGCCTTTTCAGTCAAGTGCTGGGATTCTAGCAGTGCCTAAGAATCCAGCTCCCACTCTGTGGACCAGACCTCCAGGGAGTCCTCCCTTACATAGCACAGTCTGTCAGGGTGGGCAGGGAGCAGTGGGGGAGGGCTAGCATTTATATTTTTTACCTACCCAGCTCCAGGTACTGTCCCATAATTTTATATGAAAGAGTCCAAAAAATGTAATTTAACTGCATAAAAAGCAGGATTATATTACCGTAATAAAAACCAATAATATTATAGTGGTTTCTCAGTCAGTATGAGGAAAAAAAAAGGGATAAAAATTATTTCGTGCTCATTTATTAAACATATACAAAATGAACTGATGATTACAAATTAGGCATACATCAAACACTGAACTAAAAATACTCCCAAATAACCTGTAGTAATCCAAATTGGTCCCCACCTCTTACAGAAGAAACAAACGTTAGCCTAGCCCAGTTTGAGAATGGGCATGGGTAGCTGAGGGAAAAAAAATCACAGCCAAGTTCCAATGGTCCAAATTCCATTTACTATGAAGCACCACACAAATTTATATTATTTATGTGGGTACAAGGAAAATTCTTGCTACTACAAAGTAAGTTGTTAAGTGGTTTAACTAGTTACTCGTCCCAGTAGCCTTTGAAATCAGTCTAACCAGCCTTAGTTACATAGAAACCATTTCAGGGAAGTTATTTCACCTAGGGTCAAATAAAAATACAGAATTGGTGGTCTAACTTAGATCTGCCTGATTCCAATGCCAGATGTGCTTTTTACCTATAATATATAGCCCAGACTAGCCCTCTTGGGGTGAGTTCTTTCTCCCCTTACATACAACAGGATTCTTTACAATGGGGAGTGAGCGGGAGGCTATATGGATCAGACCTGACCATGGTAAGAGAAACAGAATAGTGTCAGTCACTTCAGAAGGACAGACATGCATTTAATCTTAAAGAGAAGCAGGGATAGCTAGACCTCAACCCTGTCTGCTGGCCTGTATCTCACCTGTAAGTGCTGGTCACCTGCTCAAGTCTGGTCAACACAAAAGGTAAGTCGCTTACTTGAGGCTCACCTTTTGGGTTCCGATACTGCTGCAGAGCTGTAGGTGTGCTGACCACTGGGGCCAGTGGAGGTTTTTTCACAGAGAGGTTAATTGGCTCCTCCAGTTCTGAGGGAATAGCCAAGTCCCTGGGAGCATCCAGACCAGGGGCTGGGGGGCCTTGTCCCAATGAGTCAGTGAATCGAGTGGGATCCTCACTTTCCACCTTTCAAAAGTAAAAGCTCAGTAAGAATCAAAGAAATCAAAACTTTTTGCCATCGGTGGTCTCAGAGCTATTAAACTAAGTCCAGGATAAGACCTGTGGTGGCCAATCTTTTGCTCAATGATAAGCAGAGGAGGTTGATAGGCATTCTCCCAAGACTTACCTTACATAGGGCAGTCTCCAGGGAGGAATCAGCCCCATCCTTGGGGCACAGGCTCTCTGTAGTTCTGCTACAGCCAGGATTGGAACTGGGCCCAGTTTCCAGCTGCATGTCAGAAACTGGGGGTACGCTCTGCAGAGGACAAGTCGTCAGACTTGGCACAGCCTGCATGTGACCAGATGTTAGGCTGGGCCCAGCCTGTGAGTGATCACTTGCTAAGGTTGTGATGGTTTGGGGGGAATCACTTATCAGGTTGGGCATGGACTGGAATGTGCCACGTACAAGGCCTGGCATGGCCTGTAGGTGACTGGTTGTCAGGCTGGGCATGGTGTGAGTTTGAACACTTGTCCAGCTGGACACAGTATGTGGGGGGCCACTCAGCAGACTTGGTACTGCCTGCTGAGCGCCAGCAGTCAGACTGCTCACGCTCTGCATCTGTGGCTCTAGGGTCCTCGCCAGCCTGGTAGATGACAACTCCATCTCCAGAGAGTTGGAAAAGCCCATGATGTTCACGGAGGTGGAATGCTGCAAGAGCAGAGACAAGAGTAGAAGCAGCCTGTTAGCTGGGGGTGGTGAGAGGAAGAGACACCCACTGATAAGAAATCTAATACTCCGATTCCACTCAGGCTTCTGAGTCTGGTTACTGCTGGGAACTCAGGCAACACATGAAGTCTTATTCCAATTCCTGACACCAAAGAGGTTGCTCTGATATGCCAGAGTGGGAGATACAGGCTGAGGACACTGGTGTGTGTCTGTGTGTGTGTGTGTGTGTGTGTGTGTGTGTATTCACTAGAGAAAGAGCTATGAGAGAGTCTACCACCTGACCTGAGGTGTACACCCCCCACCAGCCCCCAGCCCTATACTTAAGCAAAGAGTTGAGCACTAGGAATTTGATTCAGTTCTCGTCCGATTCAGTTTGTGACCAGAACCATAGAAAGAAGTCCATGAACCAAGGTACCACTATTCTTTCCTATAAAAGTGGCAGAAGATTAAGTAGACTCAAACTGATCTCCCTCAGAGCATCTTCTCTGACAGGATGCCAAGACTCAGAGAGTCCCAACCACTCTGGGGACAGGGGGTGAACTCCAGGGCCTCTTACAGACTTGTACATAAACTCCAGTCACCACCAGTATTTGATGAAGGCTTTAAACAAGACACCTGTAGGACTCTCCTAGCCTTTGTGCAGCTGCCAAAGACAGCCCAAACCAGAGAAGTTCAGAGCAGTTCTTAACATGACCCAGTCTGTACAATCACTGGATGAGGAGATAATATTCCAAATCCAGAAATTCTTTTCTCACATCTAACTACTTGTTGACCTAAGAAAGACTTAAAAGATTAATGAAATGAAGTTGAAGGCACAAATTTCAGCACTGAATCTATTCAGTTTTTCAATTGAAAAAACACTTGACAGAGGCAAGGGCAGGAGGCTATCGGTAGTTTTAAATGCTGTTTTTTGTTTTTTTATTGTACTGGGGATCAAACTCAGGACCTTGCGCTTGCAAGGCAGGTGGTGGAACCACTGAGGTAAATCCCTGACCCTTTGTTTTGTTTTTTAATTCAGGCTGGGCTCAAACTTGTGATCCTCCTGCCTCAGTCTCCTAAGTAGTTGGGATTATGGACTTGTGACACCAAGCCTGGTATCTAAATGTAACTTCATGAACTTATAAATTTGTTAACTGTCCTAAAAAAAAAAAAAAGAAACATGCCAACTCACCTACTTTTAAATCAAGGAGAAAACTGGGAGTTAGCACATCTATGCTCCCCAAATCAGTGTCCCAAATCTGTCATTCCTTTCCCCATGGGTAAGACATTCAGGTTTCCTCAGGAAAATAAACACTTAAAATACATTCTCAAGCTTCAACATAAAGTTAACAAGGATACTTCGTGGTGAAGAAAGACTGTTCTCACCTCAGTGAATGTCACCCCTAGCCGTTCAGCTCTGCAAGTCAGATCCTAGGAGGGAGGCGTCAGGGGGGCTAATTCTCCTCACCTACGTTCCTATCTCCCTGGCCAACAGGAGTGGCCTCCTCAGTGCAGAACCCTAGAGACACATCTGACCACCTCGCTCCTGCTCATGACACCCTGCAGTGCACTGCACTCTTCTTAAGATGAGCACCAAAATGCTGAGCAGGCTCCCAAGCCCATGCTGACCTGGCCCCTGTCCTGCTCTGCAGCCACAGCTCGGATGACAGCCCTCTCCCATTTGTTCGCTGCACTTCGGTCCCTCAGATGCTGTCTTCAGCTCCTGTCACCTGCCAGGCTCCCCTCCTCCCCCAGTCCTCACGCCTTCCACATGTAGGGCTTCCTCTGTGTAGAACAGTGTCCTCCCCTTGCCCCTATTTCCATTTATCCTTCAGAACTTGGCTCAACTGCCAGCTATGCAACAAAGCCTCTCTTCATTCTGTAGCCCAGACCAGCCCCACACCCCAGCCTGCTTTCTGCTCCCAGAATGCCTTGCCTTTCAGTCTCACAGCACAGTTTGTGACAGTATTTGATTAATTTGTTTCCCTTATGAAACAGTAAACACCATCGGGGCATAGATTTTGTTTATTTTGTTTGCCCACTGTGTTCTTAGACCCAGGAGCAGTGCCTGAAAGAATAAATGAATTAATGAGCTACTTAAAATTTCAAAACAATACTACGTGACTGTTTATTCTACAAATCTTAAGCCAAATGAACAGCAGTTCTACTTAGTTCAGCTTAGTTCTACTAACAACTGAATCTATGAGTTTCCCTAAAATAATGATTATTTTTATATAGCTAAAATTTATTGGGAATTTACTATACACAAGGCAATTTGCTAAGTGTTTTACATATATTACTTCATTTAATCCTTACAATAACAATTATAGGGTTGTTGCAAAGGTTAAAAGAATTCATGTAAACATTTAGAATATTTTCTGGCAATTATACATACTCAATAAACTACCGCTGCTTTTACTATTGCTATTAGTATTGTTATTATTGTAACAGTGGCCCGAATTTTATGCTTGATAAAAATGACATAGAAAGGCATGGTAAGGGTTATGTTTTTGTAAAATACCATTTTATACATTTTTGTTTCTTTTTATTTGTGATTATATGTAGAAATACAAAATGATTTTTGTACACTGGTATTGTGTCCAGAGACCTTAATAAAGTCACTTTGGAATTTTCTGTGCACACAGATCAGGTAGTCTATAAACAGGGAGCTTTATTTCTTTCTTCCTTTGTTCTTATCTTCTCTGACTAAAACTCCAGGGTGATGTTACTAGAAATAGAGATAGTAGCCATCTTAGTCATGTTCCTGATCTCAGAGGATCTTTGCCGTACTTCACCACTACAATGCTTGATTGAGGTAGGTTTTTTTTTTTTTTTTTTGATTTAGAATCTACCCCTCTGGTACCAAAACCGCCCTCTTAATTCTGACTTGTCTGCCTCTAACCCTCTCTGCTGACCACCCCGACACACACTCTGCCATTCTCTGTTCTACAGTTCCTTTATCCGTTCTCCCTCTCCCTCTCTTGATACCTTCCTTCTTGTTTTTCTTTCTTTTTATCATCTCTTTCTCTTCTCTCCATACCCCTTTTCTTTACTGTATAAAAACTTTAGTAAAGCTTAAAGTTTCCTGTTCTCCCTCCTTCCCATGGTACCAGTGATTGGCCGCCCTTGGTCTCAAGGCTTCACACATGTGCTCTACTGCTAAGCTACATCCCTACACCTTTTTAATTTTTTAAAATTTTTTATTCAGCATTTCACTAAGTTGCCAGGCTGGCCTCAAACTCATGACCCTCTTGCCCCAGACTCCCAAGTGATTACAAGCATGTGCTACCACACCTGACTTATAGTTTCTGTTCTTCATACTCAGTTTTAAAAGCAGAGGAATTCAATACTTTTGTGTCTCCAAAGAAAAGTTTGTTTTTAAATTTTTTCTTGGTAGTAAATAGTCTTCAAGTAAAAAAAAAGTTCCACTTTGCTCCGGAGCCTAAGTCCCAAGGTGGGATGCAGGGGGGACTAAAGAGGAAGGATGAGAGGAATGCTCAAACCAAATTGGAAAAAACTAGGTATGGAGTCCAGTTGAAGAGACTAGGACCAGAAACCATGATTTTCTCAGACATTCCCAGGCCTATCCCTTGGCATCCCCTAGTTGTCCTGGGTATGCACTACCATACCTCTCTAATATTCGTTTCTTTATCTGTGGACAACAATGTCCACTGTTACTGCTTCCCTTCTGTGATTTGAGGTATGACTGAAAAATACAGTGAATGTTTAAAATTTTTTTTAATTTATTACAATGAAAAACATAGGGCCGGGGATTTAGCTCAGTGGTGCCGCCACCTGCCTTGCAAGCACAAGGTCCCAAGTTCGATCCCTGGCACGAAAGAAAGGAAAGAAAGAAAAAGAAAGAAAGAAAGAAAGAAAAAA